GTCAGTTTCTCAGTGTGTCAGAGTATCAGTCGATATGTCAGTCTACTCACTCACCTCGTCAGAGATCTGGGAGCCGAAGGTGACCCAGGTGCCTGGACATGAACAGGAAACACAGCGGGGTGAGTGAGGAGTGGAGAGGGTGGCACAGCTGGAAAACTAACGACACTGGTGTCTCAGAGCAGCAGGAGCAGAACCTGCAGCCTGTCAGGTGTCACCAGCAGCCACAGGTATGATGGAGGAGAGCCAACACATCTCAAACTATATTACTATGTTATAGACTATTCCTTTATCTCCACCTTACTCCAGAGAAGGAAACAGGTCTTTTAATCTCCTGCAGCTGGTAAAACCTGGAGTGGATCGAACTGCTGTGGAACAGGAATCGGATCTTTCTTCGTGAAGTGAGTATGATTGTGATTATTAGAGACATCTGAAAAGGGCAGCACTGTCCCCAGCCACACCCCTTCTCTGACTGTTCCAGTCTCCATCCCCACTCCCTCCCTGGCTGTGTGAATCCCCAGCCACACCCCCTCCCTGGATGTTCAAGCCCACAGCCACACTCCCTCCCTGGCTGTTCCAGGCTCTAGATGCCCCATCCCTGGCTATTCCAGACTCCAGCCACACCCCCTCCCTCATTATTCCAGTCTCCAGTCACACTCCTTCCTTCGCTGTTCCAGTCCCCAGCCACACCCCTTCCATCTCTGTTCCAGTCCCCAGTCACACCCCTTCCTTCGCTATTCCACTCCCCAGCCACACTCCCTCCTTTGCTTTTCCCGTCTCCAGTCACACCTCCTACAACTCTCCTGGTGCTGCCTTTACAATACCGGTCCATCAGTTGCTGTGGGCAGTGGGAGTCTGTGCAGAAACTCACCCAGTCCCAGGCAGGACACTCTTAAGCCAGATTTCCCCAGGTTCCTGCGAACAAGGGCAGAGACAGGAGGTGAGGGGTCAGCTCGTACGGTGTTCTGTAGGGGTCTCCAGCCGCAGCCTCGCAAGTTTGATGTCCTGGGATAACTCACATGGGAGTGGTCGACAGATCTCTGTCCCTGCCTTGCAGGTGTTGCCGTTTTTTTAGAAATAGGATATTCAGGGAGACCGGATTGGGTTGGATCTTTGGGAACAGGGCTGGAGACCCTGCCTAGTGATCCTGATACTTATTTGTATCAGTAGCCAGTTTTCAAGAGATGAAAAATCCATTTTGCATGATGTCAGTGGTTTCCTCTTTGTGACTGCAGAGTGAGTGGACAGTGTGAGTCTGACACCTTTTCTGAGGTGGGAAGTGGTTGGGTGTGGATGGGGCTGGATATCTTCTGCCTGTCACACAGCAGCTGGAGTGGATCAGACTTGTTTCCCACAGAAATTTAGACTGTCAAGTCTCCAACAGAAAGGGCAGATAGCTCAAAGTCCATCCTTACAACAAAATGATTTAAAAACAAATTTACATTAAGAAATCAACATGACATCAATCCATGCATCTCTATTCATCCATAACTTCACCTTCACACTCATCACCATCAGATCTGTAGAGACTTTAAAGACACTCAGTCCAGCTCATCTGTATCTTCACATTCACACTCATTGCCATCAGAGCTGTAGAGACTGTAAAGACACTCAGTCCAGCTCATCTGTATCTTCACATTCACACTCCTCACCATCAGATCTGTAGAGACTGTAAAGACACTCAGTCCAGCTCATCTGTATCTTCACATTCACACTCATCACCATCAGATCTGTAGAGACTGTAAAGACACTCAGTCCAGCTCATCTGGAACTTCACAGTATCACTGATTATGACAGCAAAGTGAACACACAATAACAGAAGCTCTCTACACAATCCAGACAAGTGTCTCTTCATCTCAAACTCTTCAAAGCTCCAAACACCCCCCGCATCTTGGAGTAATTCACTGTGATTTGCTGTTTTCCAAAAATAGATAAAAGGGATACAGATAGTTTGCCAAGTTGACTTTCTAACACACGGGTGCTTAAATCCCAACCAATTTCATTCTTAACTGCTGAGTTTTACACATGCACCTATTGTAATTCTGCAATACAGTATGTATAGTACAGTATATGTACAGTATATGCTGTTTGTTGTATGTACAACCTTTACAATGAATGAATTATATTGGCATATAGAGTCTGTACATAGTGTATAGTTGCTAAATATTTTTTACATGCGGTATATATTTACTGCATATACAGTACTGTAGACCTGCTATGTAAATGGACTGTATATGGAGCACATTCAGTGTAAAAGACTGTATATAGCTGCTGTATATATATGTACATGGTAGACATGTGGTGTATGTAAACTGTACGTATTGTACATGTGGTGTGTAGTTAACTTACAGTACATACTGTTCCCATGGTGTGTGTATATACTGTAGTGTGCTGCTGGCATGTTTAAACTGCAGATTCTATCCCAGATGGATGAACAATTGCAGGGCCTGGCAGTTTTCCTCACCCCATACCCACCCCCCCCAACTTCTCTCTTCCTCTCCCATCACTCTCTTCCCATCTCTCCCTCTGAACCCCGTCTCCGCCTTCCCCTCTTTCTCGCTCTCCCTCTTCTTCTCTCTTTCCATCCCTCTCTCTCGAAGTCTCACCAGCTACCATGTGATGAGTCACCTTGTGAGCCTCCCCTCACACAGGCTCAGACACCATGACACAGAAGAGGCACAGTAAGAGTGAGAGTGAGATGGGCAGACACGGTGGACACCAGGGGGCGCCATCACCACCCATGTGCACGCTCCAGTGCAGGGGATCCTATCGTCTCCTATCACCTTTTTAAAGACATCATCTTCCGTGAGGACCCCCGCATTAACACGAAAGAATCTACCAGAATTGTGAAATTATGATCCATGAACAAACAAACCATTTTCTATCCGCTTCATCCAATTCAGAGCCTCTCCTGGCAAGAAAAGGGCACAAGGCAGGGTGCACCTCGGACAGGGCGCCAGTGCATCCCAGGACACACACCGACATGCACACCCTGAATCCTGCTGGGCTCTGTTGGAGCAGATCTGTGTGGAGGACTGGTGTACGGAATCGTCACTCGATCTCCGGGCACCGCCGGGACAATCTCTGAGGACACCCAGGGGTCCCAGAACACACGCCTCTGTGGACTGAGACCCGGCATGCGGCTGGGACATCCTCAGCTGCAGGTGCGAGCCACTGGGACACTGTTACTGCACGAGTCAGCAGAAACGCCAGCCTGAGTCAGCATCTGTTAAACTGGGAAGTGGCACGTTTCTCTGGGCCCCCCCCCTCCCAAAAAAACAGCAGGGCATCAGTCAGCCTCTCCCAGCTGCAGGGGAATTTAGGTTAGGCCATGCTGACGCCAGCGCCCTTCCCAGGGGATCAGCAGGCCTTAGCTCCCCACGGAGGCGGCGTCCACATTGGCTATTCGAAAAGGAACATTGTAGCCTTCTTTAGCTCGGGAGACAAAAGTTGTCGAGAGACAAAAGTTACTGAACTGCATTATGACACTCATTATCATATCACCCCACTCAGCTACATCACTCTCGTCTGCACTACATTATAACTTCACCCCAACTCGGTTACAACACTCTCACCTGCACCACATTATAACATCACCCCCACTCGATTACATCACTTTCGCTTGTACCACATTATGACATCATCCCTGCTTAGTTACATCATTCTGGCTTGCACTATGTTATGACATCATCACTGCTAAGTTACATCACTCTAACTCCTTCATCACATTATGGCATCATTCTGGCTTGCACTACATTATGACATCATCACTGCTCACTTACATCACTCTTGCCCCTTCATCACATTATGACATCATCCCCGCTCAGTTACATCGCTCTGGCCTGCACCTCATAATGACATCACTCACAGAGTGATTTAGAGAGCACACGTGATTTAAGATCAACAAGAGGACAATGTCTCATGGGAGATATACTTACTGACTTGCTCACTGGGTGCCCTGAACTTTGTAAACGGCACTGTAAATATGGAAAAATGTGTGTCTAACTATCCAGCGAGAGAGGGGAATACAGAAGAATTATATGTGGGGTGAGACAAGATATCTCATTCCCAGGCTTTGCGATTTTTCATCCAATTGTAACTGAAGCAGTTTCAGTGAGCAAATGATAGCATCAGTATACAGAGTCTGTATATACACCAGCTGTACCCTATATATAGACTATATTAAGCACTTGTACAAAATATGCATGATCTACATAGGAGGAGCACAATCTGTACAGAATATATAAAAACAATACATATATATACAGCAAGTGTACAGTGTGTATAGCGTAGGTATACAGCAGGTGTAGAGTGTTTGCACTGTATGTATCCAGCAGGTGTACAATGTGTAAAGTGCATATACAGCAGTGTACAGCGTGGCAGTGTATATACAACAGGTGTACAGTATATACAGTATATAAACCAAGTGTACAGTGTATATACACCAGGTGTACAGTGTATATACACCAGGTGTACAGTGTGTATAGTGTGTACAGTATAGATACAGCAGGTGTACAGTGTATATACACCAGGTGTACAGTGTGTATAGTGTGTACAGTATAGATACAGCAGGTGTACACTATGTACAGTGTAGAAACTGCAGGTACAGTATATGGTACCTACGCATCAGGAGGTAATACAAGATATACAGTATCTAGTCATTCAGTCATCTACGTAACAGGATGGTGGTGTTTACAGCCTTGTGCAATTGTTAAACAGCGCGCAGCTATTTCAGCCTGGCAGAATGCTCAGTGTGTGTGTGTGTGGGGGGGTCGGTCTGTGTTGCTTTTGCATGAAGAGGTAATTTTGGGGGTAATTCTCCTCATGTGCTGATTGTTTTGGAGTGAAAGTGCCTCCTGAACGCTGCACTGCGACGGCACTATCGCTAGCGCAGGGTCCCCATATGGAGGCAAGGAACAGGCCCTGCGAGATTGCCCATCGCCTGGTTAATGGAGGGTGGCTCTGATTAATGTTTTTGTCTAATTGGTTATCGCTGGCATTTAAAGCAGGCCAGCGGGGATTTGGCGGGGTCTTATTTAGCTCCCCTGCAGACAGACATAACGCTGTGTCTGTGGGAGCTTTGAAGAAGGAAATCAGTTTCGGTCCAAAGGAGAAACTTCTACATATTTCAACTGTGAAGTAACATCAATCCTTGTACTCCAGCTGCACCCCATTGCTGAAGAGGGTGAGAAATGCACAACGACTTTCACTGGAATCATTCCCTCCCCTCCAGTCAGAGCCCCCAGCCATTTTTCTATGAGCCCCTGCAGTGCCTACAGTAGAGTGAGTACCAAACTACAGGAAT